CTTGGACCTTGGACCTGCCTGCCTGCCCTGCCTGTTTCTGCTTCCTCCTACCTAACCCTTCTTTTTTTTTCTTTCTCTCTCTGCTCTCCTCTGCTTGCTAACCCTACCCTGCCCCGACCCGTGCCGTGGGGCCGCGCTACTTCCCGCACAAGCTCATATAACGCATCTAATAGCTAGCCCATCATGAATTATACCCATCTATACGACACACAATCCCCAACCCAGTCGATCACGCCAGCTAACGCCATATTGAACTAGATATACATACCATACGTACGCATCTCCAAGATCCAGTCTATCAGCGTTAGCTTAGCATCCTTATCGCCCAACGTCCGCGTTATAAAGCGCCATACCTTCCTCCATATATGCTGGAATAAGCTTGCCGCCCCGTCTTCAGCTGCCTCCTATCTGATATCTTCCGCCAGCTAGGTTACCTCGTCGCGCTGGTCTGAGCACGCCTGCTGTACAACCAGCATACAGGTGACCTTGACGACTGCTGAGTACTTACCCATATAGTCTCTGATGTCCACCCATCCGCCATCTTCTGAGATACCTATAACAGCTAAAGCGCTAATTAAAGCGTTATCGTAGTAGCTTGCTTTAAGTTGATAGTCTAGTATTACTATAAGTATTCTTAGCCCTACTTGTTCCCTCTCCTGCTGTAGTATACAGGCTGCGTCAGTATCCACTGCTTCAGCAAGCTGCTCAAACCGGTCCCACATATCCTCCTGTTACGTCGTGAGCTTATACAGCAGCTGTTCCTCATCCGTCATCTCCTATGTGCGGAACTAGATACAGAGCAGCACTCGCCACACATCCTTATACCTCATCCACATATCCTCCTCCATGCGGTTATCAAATAGCCGTCTCAGCTTAACGTGGGCCTCACTCCGCTGCGCCTCGAACAGTACGGCGTGTCCAACAGTATTAGGCCCTGATGCGGCCCGCGACTGGTCTAGCACCATACTGACCGTCTCCCACATCCGCTGCAGTGTCGTCTCTTCCTCCCAAATAGCTTCTGTTGTCTTAAAGAGCGTATTAGCGTCTAGCCCACGTAGATGCTCAGCCCATCCGACGCGGTGGAGCCATAGGTTAGGTTCAAGCTTCTCGCTAGTCACACGTATGATCTCGTTGTTGCTCGTCTTCACCCTATCCGCCTGGATCTATCGTAGCTGTAGAATGCGGTCAACAGCTTCCTGCGATGCGGTTTTATCGTTAATAGATTGCTGTCAGGCCTCAGCGTGTGCTAGGATGCTAGCCACTTCAAACCATCATTTTCCACCTCATGAGACACAAAATCTCTAGCAATAAATACCTATAGCCCATAGCACCTCCCATGTCTCCTCCGACTTCTTCTTCATATTGCCACCTCTCTTATTGTTGTTTACCCATCTATGTTTTTCCCGGCAGTGCCCTTGGATCGTGCGTATCCAGCGGCATATATAGCCGCACTCATTACATCGCATACCATCCGTGATGGGTGGCTTAATAGAAGCAATTGGGCTGCTTGTTGGCGGTGGATAATGGAGCTGACTGAGCTCGGCCTGGCTCTGGATACAGCCAGTCAACAACTAAGTGATCTCTGCGATTTAAGCTCTCTTAGCTGGGCGAATTAGTGGATGATGGCGTTTGAGATGGGTAGTAACTTCATTAGTAACGACTGCAAATTAGCATTCTATACATATAAGTAATGAGAACTAGGAGTTGAATGTAAATGGTTCTATATTAGTACGTCTAGTAGTATAGTTAGTAGTGCTCTTAGATTGAATAGATAATCTAGTATGAGATGAATATATTATTTGTATTTAATGTTAACTGGGTGACTATGTCTCTTCTGAGTTAGGGAATGAGCAAGCTGACTAATGCTAGCTAGCCTAGATAGGTTAGATAGAAGAAGCATAGACCACACTTCACCACAACACCTCCAAAAGATAGAAGACTTTATTAATTCTTTATTATTTAATAGTATCTCTAAAAAGACTAGCATTCTAGGTATAGAACATTCTAACTACAACGTTTCAGTGCATCTCTGTTTCTGATATTTTAGAGCTAAAAAGAGCATCGGTTCTTACAACAGTAAAAGCAATGGTTCTTACCCCTTGTCTTCATCGCCCCACATTTAATTTTGGTGAGGTTTTCAACGGATGTTACTATCATCCTTCGTGTTCAGTAAGTTAGGTACGTCGCTGCCCATCCCCCCCCCCCCCCATTTCCGCTAAGTAAACCTAAACCCGTTCTGAAGCGCTTCGCACAGGCGCGGCAGCGCTACTGCTTCTCGCGATGTCCAAGTTTGTGCGGGATCTCTTCTGTAGTAAGTGTACTGTTTTAACGTCAATCCCCAGCTTCTGTTAGCAGACCCTACTGTCGGATAGCTGGCCGTAACAATGTACTGTTCTAGCCGCCCACCACCTTAGTAGGTTGGTTAGCTATTTTCCTCGTTTATATTTCATAACAAAAGTTCATGTTTAACTTAGCAGCAAGACATAGAATATATAACTCTCAGTACAGATGACCTAATGGTAGCCAGGCATGTTGAGGTTTATATTGACGCGAGATACTAATAAATAGAACCACCACTAACTCCTAACAGTATTCCATTATTTTCTCAAAAGAGCGTTTCTCGTGAAATACTTTCATAGCATGAATCAGGAAAGACTGGTCCCTGGCCATTTGGTTTATAATAGAGTGCCGGTAGCGACAGGCTGAATGTTACGACCGCTGAACAGAAAACCCCCTTAACAATACGGTACGGCCATGGCCAGTCAAGCCTTTTGGTCCGGCTGATCCTGGCTCTGGCCCACAAGGCGCTCTTTAACTTTCGATGCCTCTCCTTGAATTTTCGATGCCTCTGTTTCGATTGTCTTCTTGGCCTGCTTCACGGTGGAGGTAAGAGAAGGCAGCGTATCTCCATCATTGCCGTATCCCTGGACGAGCAGGCTCAGCAGCGTGTTAATAAAGCTGTACAGCGGACTGACCTTCTCTTCATCGGATCCACCATGGTCCTTTTTGCTGGGCATTCTTGAATCTTGAGCAACAGAGGTCTTTGATCGTTTTAAAACAGCAGTATCAAATTTTACAAGGCTGATTGCAGACCATACGCATCCCATATGTCATTGTTAGATAGAGAATGAGCTTGAACAGATGCGCTCTTCAAAGTTGTCCAATCTTATATAGTATTTGACTGTTCAGCGTCATCATATAGTCTGACGGAGGAACTCTCCAGCTCCGCGAAAGTCTCGGGGACACCATTACCAACAACACAGTGGGCAGCCCTGCACTAATGATGATTATTCAGCCGTTATGGCAAGGATGACTAGACAACGGCCGTCGTCTAGACCAAGAAAGCGAGACCAGAACTTTCTTGGGTTGTCCCAGGTGTGGCTCAACATCGTAAATACAGCTTATCATTTTCTCTCAGACTGTGTGGGCAGAAGGTTTTCGTGTACGTAGGTCGTACGTAGCCCCGGACTGATGTCGACAGAGGTAGCAAAATATGGAATGTTGTTAAAGCTCATGAACATCCTTTGAACACAAAGGTTTGTCATCGTGACATATGTCGAGCTTATTTCTATAAGTGAAAGAGAGCCATCTGATTCCAAAGAACATTCTGGATTGATATCATAGCGGCGCATGGCAATCGGGTTTACTACACTTCCCTCCCACATACCACCACCCCATCAGCACCCGCTGTTAGTGCCGCGCTAGGCCTGGCATACTAACATGAACACCACCTAATCCATCCCACACGACCAGAACCCTCGCCCGCGATGGTCTCAGAGCCAGCATAACACCAGAGGTATCATTACTGACAGCCTTCGCGTTATAACAAAGTTAGTTACCCTAACTCGCTCATGATAACTTGGCTACCTCAGTGAGAAATTAGTTAGCGAATTGGGCCGCTAATGATCATCCGGACATTTTGCAACACTGCAGAGAGCACTCAGGTGACCGTTAATGAAATGTGGACGAACTCTCCAAGTGCACCCAAACTTAGACAAGCCGCTCCGAGCACTACGGACAGCTGCGTTAACTACCGTAGGGTTGCACTGGATGATGACGTACATGCAGTTTCGATATGCTTCTCCGAGGAAAGCAGTGACAGGCACTTTGCCACCATAGACTGACGTGAAATTCGGTTGAAACTTAATTAAGAAGTTCTTCAATGTCACTCGTGGTGAGGATATCTCGAGATAGCCACCTGGGTTACATTCAAATGTTTGACTGTAATCGGGAGCGGCAAACGTGTTTTTTGAAAAGCTTATTGGGATCGTTAACAATCTTGAGTTCTCGGCAATCTATGCGGTGGGCAATTATCGGGAAATACATTGTGCTCAAAGCATGCTCTTGTTCGCAAGCCGTGATATGGCGATATGCTTCCGATTGCTACGACTATCCCTTTATGATGAAACCACAATAAGGTAGCGGTGTCTACGTTTGCACCAACTTCTCCCTGCATGTGGGCTGCTTAGGAGTCTACATCACTCGTAGCTGAACACGGTTGAAACTGCACCGTCCATTGGTCAGTTAATGATCGGCTCAGGGCCCGAGACTGCCTACATCCAATCACATGAGGCCCCATCCAATGAACTCTCGCCACCCTCACTCACATACAACGCAAACGCACACACACAACCATTAACTCATGGCAACACGCAGCTCGCCTACTCCACCACATGCAAAATGCCAGCGAAATGGCCTTTGATTTGGAGCGGGGATTGGGGCCGGGATTTGAGGTCGGGAATTAGGGTTGGGAATAGTCAGGGGTTGGGACCGGGGTCTGGGCGGTGTTTGACAGCGAGAACACCCAAATATACTATCTCCATGACATCTCCAGGTGTCTAGCCGGCGCCATAATTGGCCAGCCGCAAACACGGGGACAGGGGTGCTATGCGCGACAGCTTAGTGTGCAACGAGAGTCACTCACTTGCTTTTCTTGTGACATCACGCCCAGTAATAGATGGTGCAAGTCTGACCACTCTGTGTTAGTGACGTGGTGACATGCGGCCTTTGAAAGGAACTGGGAGGAAGTACTTCCACGTCACAACCCGGCCGTTAATACGCTCGAGACAAGAGAGAAATTCCTCCACATACAGAAGATATTGTGCATAGCAATACGGAGCAGTTCTCCGAGGGTTTCAACCTTTTGGAGGTCAAGATGGCTTCCACTACTCTTCCACGCATCATAGACGAAATATGATTTGCAGAAGGCAAACAAAGACCAGTCCAGGACCGTCATGATCCGGAACGCCTTTGATACTCGAAGAAGCGCATGTGGATTTTCAGCTTACAGACGGACACTGCACCCCATAAGTCACCTTCAACGATGGGTTCGTGCAATAGCAGCGGTCCCCCGACAAAGGCTGAAGACTGGCAGGGTTCATCGAAGCGGTCGATGAAGCAGTTTGCAACGTGCTCGGCTAATTGAGATTTCTGAGCAGCCCAAATGCAGGGAGAAAATTACTTACATGTGGGTCGTGGGACGTGAATCAAGATATTCCTACCTATGGCGTTATCATCAATCAAACGATCGTGATGAGAAAAAGTGTGTCGTCACAGTAGGTTATAAAGCGTAGATACAACAATGCTTTTTAGGTATGGTGAGCTTCCGCGGTCGGTCCGCGTCTTATGCTTGTCCTTCTTCCTTCTGCTCCTTTGTCCTCTTGGTCCTCGACGTGATAATCCGCACTTTAGCCCAAGTCATTGATCAACGGAATATATCAACAAGCCCCGCGTGAGTCGTTATTATGACCCTACGAAGCATAAGTATCATTGACAAATCGGACATAGACCATGACGAGAAAGCTAGAAGCCAAGGCAATCCATACACTGGAGGTCAGCAAAATTCGTAAGCCATCGAGACATTGTACTCGGCAAGCTTGCGAAAATTGTCGTAGGAAAAAGGCAAAGGCATGTTGAATTTCTCTCGCCCAGATATTACGCTGAGTAATGACATATTGTTTAGTGTGACGGGGAGACTCCATGTGATAGATGCGCTCAGAAAGGACTGCAATGCAAATACGAAGCACGACGTACACGCTCCAAACGCAGCCTACGAGCCGAGATAGAGGCCCTCAAAGAAGTTCAAGAACATAAGGAAGTCCTGATTGCGGCACTCACGACTTCTGATGAGGGTTTTTGCCTGCTAAAACTACTTCATGGCGAAGAGAAATTTGAGGACATTTTGCAGCAAGTCAGGCGCGCCAAGGCCTCTCAGTCATCGTCCCCAGCGCTGGAGCTATCTCCTGCAAACGAAGAACAGAACCCTCGTGTGCCAGAAAAGCAAGCACGCGCCGCGGACAGCAATTCATCTGTATCAACGAATGGTTCTTCAATATCGTCGTCATCCATGGAACAAACCGACCATAGAACATGCGACAATCTACCTACTTCTTACTGCAGAGAAGAAGATAGCAATGAGGTAGTTGACTCAGTATACTTCAACAGAGCAATGCTTGGCATCTCGCAAATTATCGACGAGTCTATTGAGTCAACTGGCGGGGTCTCCTTCGCAGGTAATTGAAACTACTCCAAACACGCTCATCCTGACTATCTTACTAACTTTAGTGCCTCTTCTGACGACTACCAATGGCATCCTAGTTTGCAGTCTTCCGGCGATGTTCCTTCTGTCGGCAATACTAGTTGCTACATGGACTCTCTAGCTACTCAAACAAGCTTTCCCAACGGCCCGCCTCTTGACTTCACGCTTTGGTCAGATGCCGAGGAAGAGTCACTCTTGAGCATTAGCTCAAGGGTACCTTGCCCTTCCTCATACGAGAATGAACACTTTCTTGCATGGGATAGCTTGGGTTTTTCGCCAGTGGAAGACGTCGAATCCAGTATAATCGTACAAAGAGCAACATTGTTAAGGAATTTATGGTCTGGCGGCATCCAACAGCCTCACTATCACGGCCCGACCAGTTAGGGTGCTGGCTAGTGTAGCTATATATTGCAGAACAGAGGATGACAATACTAGGTATCATTACTGAGGCTTTTACTTTGTATCACAGTTGATTGCCCTGACCGACTCGTAACACTCATCGCCAGGATGCGAGGCCTTTAAAGCCGTTGCAATCCTGCGAACGGCATTATACAGCATGTACTAGTAATCTCAAACGGCAAATAGGACAGTGTTACGACCCGTTATACAAGGAAAACAGTTGGCCGACCCACTCAGGCGTTAGGCGGCTAGGATAGGACACTTATATTGCAGGATCATAGTGTTACGACCCGATATGCAGGAATAACAGTTGACCGACCCGGGCGTCGGGCGGCTAGACTAGGACACTTGTACTGCAGGATCACGGGAGCAACAGGAACTCACTCAGAAACAGAAGAACTATGGTATAAGTCACGTGATGATAAGATGACGATCATTTTGGATCAGAATGATCCAAAACGATCCAAGGTACAAGGAGACATGTTCAGAATTAGACTTATATATAGTATGACCTGAGCCTGGCTCATGGCCAAACTTCCATAGCTCTTCAGCAATCAACTTGTAAACATCCTTTGTAAACATCTTCCGATACTTTCAGCTTACCTTCACTGCGAATTACTTGTTGAGTCTAAGACTGATCACCTTAGCCTCTGAAGACCGATCTACGACAGCCTAAACGACCTACAACTCAGAAATACGATACGAACCTATCTACTAGCGTCAACCCCCAACTTCTTTCAGCAGACCCTACTGTCGGATAGCTAACTGTAACACCATGTTGCAACTCGTACTTCCTTTCTCAAATGAGAATCCTCAGATGTGGAAGGAAGTTTCTTGTTTATCTGAGCTGCATCTACGTGTCCTTAGACCTACTGTATCATTGACCTTGATGTCTTGGCCTTGATGTCTTACTCCAGTGCCGAGCATAGCCGAGAGCACTACATGTGAAGGGCTCAGCCTGTAACAAGACCTAAGAAAACAGCACCACTACCGCTAAATAAAAAGGAAAATGAATCACCTATCCTAAATAACCTAAATAGTTAAGAAAAAAACTAGATCTACTTACTAATCTTCTTCGCC